CAGCACTGTCCCCATAGTTCTGCTTATAGTCTCATTATTGAGATTCCGATGTTTCATGTTAAATATTTATGTTACTTTTAAGTCTTATTGCACATTGTAATAAAGGGGATGGAGGACCAGAGCTATGAGACACGGCTACTAAATTTAAACATGTTTACGTTGGAAGTAAGGAGATTAAGGGGGGACATGATTTTCATATACAAAATGTTCCATAGTCATAGCAACATTAGCAACAAACTCTTTGAGATTAATTCCGTAACAAAGACTAGAGGACACCACCCAAAACTGGTAGAAAAAAAATTTGAACACAAGGGGCGAAGGGGGTTCTTCTCAGTTCGCGCGGTTAGGGTCTGGAACTCACTGCCTCAAGCGGTAATTTCCGCAATTAATCTGGAATGATTCAAGAGGCTTTTGGACAACTTCCTGAGAGACTGAAATGTACAAGGGTACAGGTACTCTTAAGAATGAGAACACTCATGGACCTATACACACACACACACACACACACACGTTGGACTTGATGGACTTATGTCTTTATTCAACCTCAAATACTATGTTACTATGTTACTATGCAATAGCCAGATCTCAAAGATCTTTTTTGCTGGGGGAGAGCAATGTTGATAGAAAAAAAGAGAAAACACTGGGTGTCTGACCTGGTGCAATAATTCTTTTTATTGGTAAAAAAAATAATACAATGTGATATACTCACAAGCGGAGAAAAATAAACATCAAAATGGACTGATATTCCTCAATGGATTAACTGCTGTGGAGGTGAATAAGATTATCCAGGAGCTCTGCTGATCTCTTGCTAAACGCGTTTTTGAGGATACTCCTCCTTCTTCAGAGCTGAGTAGCTGACTATCAATGTGCTGATTTGTATTCTGTGGTTGCTCAATGAGCCTCTATAGGATGGAAAAACGACCAAACAGCCAATAGCATTTTGTTGCTAAGAGACAAGGGGTCTTTTAGCAACAAAAATGCAGTTTTATAGCCACAAATTTGGGATTTTAATATGTGTGTGCACAAATTAAAACATTTTTTCACATGCAAAGTGGTTAAGAATCCCTTAATTAAAAAAAAAAGCCATATCCACATGAAATAAAATAAAAACCCCACAAAAAAAATTAAAAACCCCAAGCTATCACCCTTAATACAAACGCCCACTTTTTTTAGAGGTAAAATTTACAGCTAAAAAATGCATTTTAACTTACAATAAAGGCCCTGTCAACATAAAAAATATATCCCCAAAATAAATTAAAACCCCAGAATACCACCTCTTAAAACAAACGCCTTGTAGTAAAAAAAACACGCTATAGCCGGGAGAGGAGCTAAACATAACTGCTGACCTCAAATCAACTACAAAATGAATAATAAAAAAGAAGCAAAGGAGTTAATTGTCTAAAGAGTTAGCATTTCTAATTACAGTACCATCTTTTAACTGACGGTAATCTCTCACTATGCACTTTGCCAACTTCACCTATTCTTTCCCCATAACAGCTTTCAATTCACTGTCAGTATGGCTGCTCTGTGCTCCTTATTATCCAGAAGCCCCTGTATTGGTTCTTCTGAGCCTGCTGGCCACAGTCCCATGCCCATGGAGGGCATTCAAGTTTTTTTTAAAAATCTCCCAAATGTTTTCCTTAAAAATCAGCTGGAAAAAAATTGTTGAGATTGCAAATCTTAAACTCCCACAAGGTGCCTCAAACTCATGGTGGCGGCCACCCTGAATTTCATCCCTAGCATTTAAAATATACCAAAACTTACTTTATAAATACCAAGTGAGTTGTAAGGTTCTTCATAACAGCACAAGTCAAATGATGGCAATTGTAACATATAAAGTGTTAACTGTTTGCTGTCAACTGGAATTTTAATTAATATTAAAAATAACAAAACACATACTATTGTAAGCTACTAATTAACATTTTACAGCATATTAAAGCTGTCATTTATGCATAAAAGCTCACTGAATGTGTTCAGGTGACTATTTAAGCTTAAAAAGCTTACATAATTACTTTCACATTACTATCTACAAAGTCACGTATCCATGACTGCATTGAGAACAGTATGTGTTCAGTGTTCCACATGTAAAAATAAATATGTACACGCAATAAAAAAGAAGACACAAGAGGCAGATCAAGGAGTATTTACATATATTAAATATCAAGGACTTTCATGACTTTAAATTGCCTTTTATGATATTGTGTAAAATTCCCTGATTCAAATTATTTATTAAAAGTACAAAATAATTTTACGAAGTAAAGGTCATTACTAGGAATGAGTTTTAGGTTTTCGCTGGTTGCAATTGCTTCCCAGGCTGCCCACATACATTTCAAAATTAAACAGCTGAGTGTGTGTTTCACAGCATATTTCCAAATTGTTGCTGCAATATTTTTTTATTGAAAAGCCTTTTTGTAAAAACAGTGTAATATTCCTGGGCAATGTGCATCAGAACAGAAGCCTTTGCGAAGGTAGTGTTATTTGCAGACAATAGAAAGTAGGAGACAGGGGCAAAGTGTTGCCCATAACACATAGTGCTTGTACAAGGACCTTTTAGTGGTTGAGTTTACATTGGACTACACAAACTATGCTTAAAGTGATATTAAAGGCAAAAAATGTTTTCCCTCCCCCCCATGTAAATGTTAGCACTTACCTTAAATGATGTCTCTTTTTCCGATCTTCCTCTTCTTTCCCCATGTTTTCATGTGTCCCTGCAGTGGTGTGACGTCACTCCGATCCAGCGCTGACTGTTCTGTCTCTCTGATCCAGCGGTGTCTGCAGGCGGGTGCACGCGTCCATAGACTTACCTTGCGTCTCTGCTCGTCTCCCAGCCGAGAATCGGAACTGCGCATGCGCCCGCCCCAAGATCCTTTGCGACCGTACGAGCAGTTCCTGACAGCAGCGATAACGAGGTAAGTTTAAAATTATTTTAAGCGGTTTTTTTTTACACTTCTTGCCTATATCTACTGCATGCTAGCAGTAGATATAAGCAAAAAAAACGGAGGGTTTAGAACCCCTTTAAGTTCTTTGAACTGCAGTGCTGGGGTACGGTATAAAGTGTTCACAAACCGGCTGTACGGCAGCTGCCTTAACACACTTAGGCCTTCCACATTTAGCTAAATAAACAGATAAAATATTTTATTTTATTTCCTGTTTCACAATAAAAAGTGACTCTACCAAAAGCAGTGGATTGTTTAACCACTTGCTGACCGGGGTGTTTATACCCCCTTCCTGCCCAGGCCATTTTTCAGTATTCAGCGCTGCAGTACTTTGACATTTATTCCGCCATTTAATGCTGTACTGAAATTATTTTATACCATTTTTGGGGGACAGATAGAGCTTTCTTTTAGTGGTATTTAAACACCACTGGGGTTTCTATTCTTTACTGGTTAATGGAAAAGGTCATGTAAATTTTTAATAAAACCTGTTTTCCCTACGTTATGTTATAAAACATTTATTTTTACCCAAATTTTTGGTATAATATAAAATACGGGGTCACACACCAAACATGTCAAGGTTTAAAATTGTGTGTGCCTGCAAAATCGCAAAAAAACTACCATATCCAAAATTGGCCATAGGCGATGCTTTAAAAGCTTTTACCGCTCGTCAGTTTAGTGTTATCAGATTGATGAATTATTGCTCACACTCCGACGTTCGTGGTTATATGTAACATGTGCGGTGCAATTGGCGCAATCATCGTTTTCGCAAGTAGGCGTATCCAACGCATGTTTGCTTGTATATGTGGGTGCGGGGGACTTTAAAAAAATGTTTGTGTTATTTTTGTATTGCTTCTTTATGTGACATTTACATTTGTTTAACTTACATTTTTTAAAACCTTTTTTTCACTTAACTTTATTGCTAACAAGCCCCCTATGTGATAGCCAATTTGCAGGTCCTCTTTATGGAGACATCATGGGTCTTTAAGACCCCTAATATCACCAAGGAACCCCCAGAGTAGCTGATGAAGCAGAGACCTGCTTCACCAGCTTCTCTCTGGCTTCTGTACCGGAGAGTGACAGATGAATGCGGAAGTGATGTAATATACATCACTTCCTGCATTCCGACTATTAGGAGGAGATCAAAGGGAGATCTTGTACTGACCTCCCTTTGATATCTGGTCACAGAGCTGCTGTGCTGGTCCCAGGTAGGGATGAGCCGAACACCCCCGTGTTCGGTTCTAATTTTTCAGATGGATTGGGGGAGGGGGCACTTGTTGTAGGTAAGATTTTTTTGCAAGCAATGTTTCTGATTTGGGCACTTCCTGTAGTGAAATGTTTTACTTCTGTAGGAGTATCAAAGGACCTCTGGCTATTGGAGATTCTTGTTATTACACAATGGGATTTGAGGTCCAATCAGGGCCGTCTTTAAGGTGGGGCAAAAGGGACACATATCCCGGGCCCTGTCATTGTAGTGGGGCCCTGTACCCCATAAACTAGCGCTAGTGAAAAATTTCTGGACCAGCCGTCTAGTCTGCACTACCCCCTTTATGACGCTAGTGGCAGCCGCCTCCTATCCATATGTGCAGCAAATATCTCTGCTGCCCGGGATATCACCTCCCACTCAGCAGAGGAGGACGATAGCTTTTGCACACCCTGCTTCATGGTTCTGCCCTCCTCCCTCCATGGGTGCAGTCTCATGCTCCCCCTGTCCATGGTGAGTCCGCATGGCTGCTGGGTTGGGCTTCTATCTGGGGGGGAGAGGGATGGGAGGTGGTCGGGTTAGCCTAGCAGTGCTACACCTATGATGTAATGCTGTATAAAAATAATAATGACACCTGAGCATGTCCCCTTGGTGTAATTATTATTATTATTATGTCCCCCCCAGTGTAATTATTATTATTATTATGTCCCCCCAGTGTAATTATTATGTCCCCCAGTGTAATTATTATTATTATTATTTTAAAATAATAATAATAATGACACTGGGGGGACATAATATTAATAATGACACCAGGGGACATAATAATAATGACACTGGGGGGACATAATATTAATAATGACACCAGGGGACATAATAATAATGACACTGGGGGGACATAATATTAATAATGACACCAGGGGACATAATAATAATGACACTGGGGGGACATAATATTAATAATGACACCAGGGGACATAATAATAATGACACTGGGGGGACATAATATTAATAATGACACCAGGGGACATAATAATAATGACACTGGGGGGACATAATATTAATAATGACACCAGGGGACATAATAATAATGACACTGGGGGGACATAATATTAATAATGACACCAGGGGACATAATAATAATGACACTGGGGGGACATAATATTAATAATGACACCAGGGGACATAATAATAATGACACTGGGGGGACATAATATTAATAATGACACCAGGGGACATAATAATAATGACACTGGGGGGACATAATATTAATAATGACACCAGGGGACATAATAATAATGACACTGGGGGGACATAATATTAATAATGACACCAGGGGACATAATAATAATGACACTGGGGGGACATAATATTAATAATGACACCAGGGGACATAATAATAATGACACTGGGGGGACATAATATTAATAATGACACCAGGGGACATAATAATAATGACACTGGGGGGACATAATATTAATAATGACACCAGGGGACATAATAATAATGACACTGGGGGGACATAATATTAATAATGACACCAGGGGACATAATAATAATGACACTGGGGGGACATAATATTAATAATGACACCAGGGGACATAATAATAATGACACTGGGGGGACATAATATTAATAATGACACCAGGGGACATAATAATAATGACACTGGGGGGACATAATATTAATAATGACACCAGGGGACATAATAATAATGACACTGGGGGGACATAATATTAATAATGACACCAGGGGACATAATAATAATGACACTGGGGGGACATAATATTAATAATGACACCAGGGGACATAATAATAATGACACTGGGGGGACATAATATTAATAATGACACCAGGGGACATAATAATAATGACACTGGGGGGACATAATATTAATAATGACACCAGGGGACATAATAATAATGACACTGGGGGGACATAATATTAATAATGACACCAGGGGACATAATAATAATGACACTGGGGGGACATAATATTAATAATGACACCAGGGGACATAATAATAATGACACTGGGGGGACATAATATTAATAATGACACCAGGGGACATAATAATAATGACACTGGGGGGACATAATATTAATAATGACACCAGGGGACATAATAATAATGACACTGGGGGGACATAATATTAATAATGACACCAGGGGACATAATAATAATGACACTGGGGGGACATAATATTAATAATGACACCAGGGGACATAATAATAATGACACTGGGGGGACATAATATTAATAATGACACCAGGGGACATAATAATAATGACACTGGGGGGACATAATATTAATAATGACACCAGGGGACATAATAATAATGACACTGGGGGGACATAATATTAATAATGACACCAGGGGACATAATAATAATGACACTGGGGGGACATAATATTAATAATGACACCAGGGGACATAATAATAATGACACTGGGGGGACATAATATTAATAATGACACCAGGGGACATAATAATAATGACACTGGGGGGACATAATATTAATAATGACACCAGGGGACATAATAATAATGACACTGGGGGGACATAATATTAATAATGACACCAGGGGACATAATAATAATGACACTGGGGGGACATAATATTAATAATGACACCAGGGGACATAATAATAATGACACTGGGGGGACATAACAATAATGACACCAGGGGACATATAAAATAAGGACTCCAGGGGACATATAAAATAATGACACCGGGGGACATATAAAATAATTACACCAGGGGACATATAAAATAATGACTCCAGGGGACATATAAAATAATGACACTGGTGGGACATAATAATAATAATGGAAAGTATCAGAATGAAGATAATGGGAAAGAGGCTATATGAGCAAAAAAAAAATTAGGTGACATGAAAGATTTCTATTAGGTCAGGTCAACCATTTTTACTGATATTCAGTACTTTAAAAATGTCATAATGGATTTTGACCATGCAGACTTTCTTTTCTATCATACACATCTATACTAATTAAAAAGAGTTAAACATTAATAATAAACTACTCACATTAGTTCTTGGATCCCATGGGCAAGCTCTTGCATGACCATAGCAGATGCACATACCACCCACAGAAATATCTTTTATGGAATAGAAATACTGGGAAGCAAAAACAAGAAAACTGGTTAGTAAACATCATATGTGACAGGATTATTAAATAATTAAGCTTTTCATTTAACGTTGGCAATATATGGAAATAAATATTGGAACATGGTCTGTAGGCTATAAAACCAGAGGATGTCCAGAGCTGCAAGCATAGCACATGTATACATTCAACAACCATCTACAAACTAAAAGATTAACTTTAATAATGGAACATAGGGTTGTAGGAGATGTTCCTGTTGATACTGGCATGGTCAATGATTTTATTTTTCCACCACCTACCAATAACATCTTTCTCTAGCAGTCTGTTTGAAATGTACTAGTGTGGGCAGATACACTGCATGTTGCAATGATACAAACAAAAGATACAGAAAAATTTTATTGTGCGAGCCTCTGAAAATATACTGTTAGTTAATCTAATTCTCTTTTTTTATATTCTATGAAATACTACCACTGAACAATGGAATACAGTTAAAAAGATATGATTAGGAATAAATTCTGGGCACCTTTACAAAGTTATATTTACATTTTACAAAAAAATATCAGACTAGCAAAGTACTGTAAAATGGATGCTATTTGTGGTAAGAATCCTGGAAACTTTAGGAGTTGTAGGGCCAGATATTTCCCCTATGTAAACAACAGCAAAAAGAGCAGTGCAGGAAGGTAATACCAAACCTCCTTGACTCAAGTTAGGCAGCCAGTTTTAGAAAGAGGATGTATTGCACTACTTCAGTACCTTTAACATCCATACATTGTCCATCAATATCTAGCTAGATAAAAACAGAAGGCTTCCTTTTGTTGCGGTGGTGAATACTGCAATACGGTGGTGGTGAATATTTGTGAATACTGCAGTTGATCACCCTTGTACATGGACCCTATAACCTCATATGTAGCTATTCAGTAGCCCCTACATTGGTAACAACACCTAATATTGTGATGAGAGCTGATGCTTGAATCTTTTTTAAATAAGAAGCCACCTCTTTTTTTTTATCCTCACATTGAAGAGAAGAGAATGGGCTGGGTCTTATGAAGGGCGATGTAATTGATAACGGTCAAGTATCAAATAGATATAACAAAATGTTTTTAATGGTATATTTAACAGTCAATGAGGTAAAAATAGTTAATTTTTAAGGTTTATATTCACTTTAAAGTGACCCTGTTACCAGAAAATACAGATAAAAGATTTCTGCAATAGACAAGGCTATTTCTCACCTGTTCAGCAGTCCCTGTCTCCTACCTATAAAATGCTACACTATTTCTAGTCAATAAACAAGATTGACTTGGCATTGCATTGGAGTGCGAGTGCTGCTGTCACTGCCACACCTGCCCTGTTTTACCTGGGCTTCCATCCGGTCAAGAGTGCGATGGGATACAGGTATATTTCAATTTCCTGTCTCCTACCTTCCCCTGTTCCTCTATTAATGTAGGGGTAAGAGGATGAGACCATGGCATGTGTAGGGGACACAAGCATCCAATAGTCCTAGAAGTGTTTAATACTTAAGACAATGATGGAGGATGCAGCATTAAAACAGAGGGAAGGTATGAAACATGCACCACCAGACAGATGAGTATAATACCTTTTTATGCGTGGCTTTTCATTTGTATTTTTGTGACAGGGTAACCTTAACCTTTTGGGGAAAAAATGGGGGCTGCCACTGCAGCCTTTTGTAACTTTTTGTTTAAAGTTTTTAAGCTACAATCACCAAGGCTGTCATGTTTTACATGATTTCACTACTTGGTGAATCACTGACCTGGACCAAGTATGTGCAAATTAGGTTTTATGACAAAATATTTATTTCGCTAAAACCAAACCACTCCAAGATGTATTCTTGCAACTGCTGTAGATACAGCACTCTTCACTTAGTACTTTAGAACTAATTAGAATGCAGTGTTGAATAATAACTCAACAGTTGGTTACTAATATTCAGTTTAACAGCCTTTTTTTTTTAAAGAAAATGTGGCATTGATTCAATCATTCAAGTCTGTGGTGCCACAAACCTGTAACAGGTGAATCAGGGGAGGACTGGGACAATTAAACTCCCCTGGTAAAGTAAGGTATTGGGACCCATCTGGCCAACTTATCAAATTTTTTACACGGCACAAACACAGGGTTCATCCAACAACCTTGCATTTATTCCTGAATGCACAGCATGACACAAGACAATTATACATACTTTGCGCAGTGTTTATCAATAATGGTGTAAATGTATTACACGTCTGCATACAAGGGAGTAGGAATGCTTGTTCATTGAAAAGAATAATGTTATCACAGGTTAGAACACAATATAATTGGATCTTGCTGTTTAGCTAGATTTATCCTAAAGATAGTTCTAGAATGAAACATGCAGCTGAGCTCTCATTTACTTATCTGCAGGAGACGTTTCCCTTAACTTGGTGAATGTGGTAAAATCTCACTTTGTAAAGAATACCCAATCATGTGCAAGGAAAAATAAAAAACAGTATTTTTGCTTGCACATGATTGGGTGATGGAAGTCAGCAGAGCTTCCTCTTTTTCACTAAGCTAAAGAAAAACATGCCCGTGATGTGCAAATTCCTTTGCACAGTGAACAGCCTATTTGCCTATATTAAATCAACCCCTGAATGTACTTGCCAAACCCACTCCACAACAGAGTTACACTACTGTAGTTTGCACTAAGATAAACATGACAACTTTAAAAGGACATTTATAACTGTATTGGCTATTGAAAGTTATTAACCACAAATCTAAAGCTTGCAAAGAAAATTAAACATGTTAGAAAGCATGTTTGCCTTGCCTCCGGTTAGCATTAGAACAAATCATACACCAATCTATGTTGGCTCACAATAATCCCCAATAATCCACATTTACTGGAGTGTGTTGACTTGTTTGCATTGATCTTTAAAGAATAGCTTTAACCACTTCAAGACCAGGTGTTTAGACCCCCTTCCTGGCCACCCCATTTTTCAGTATTCAGCGCTGCGGTACTTTGACTGACGTTTATTCCGTCATGCAACGCTGTACTGAAATGAATTTTATGCCATTTTGGGGGACTGACAGAGATTTCTTTTAGTGGTATTTAATCACCACCGGGGAATAGTACCGCAGCGCTGAATACTGAAAAAATCGCCTGGATGGGAAGGGGGTGTAACACCGCGGATGTCAACTGGTTAAACATTTTTGGGGGACTTACATTTTTTTTCACTAAACTTTATTGCTATCACATACGGGGGCTAATAAAACCCCCCTATGTGATAGCAAAATATGTGACAGGTTCTCTTTATGGAGACATCAGGGTCTCCAAGACCCCTAATGTCACATATGACCCCCCAAAAGAAGCTGATGAAGCACAGATCTGCTCCATCAGCTTCTTTGCAGCTTCTGAAGCTGGAGAGTGACACACGAATGCGGAACTGATGTAATATACATCACTTCCTGCATTCTGACAATGATGAGGAGATCAAAGGGAGATCTTGTACTGATCTCCCTTTGATATCTGGTCAAAGAGCTGCTGTGATGGTCCCAGGCTCTCACTTCCGCATTCTTTCAGAGGAGAGGGGACCGGAGGGAGCTTGTGTAACATGGCATGGCGCTGATCCCGGGCTCGCCCGGGCACAGCGGAGCCCGGGATCAGCGGGACAATGGCTGGGGGGACAGCGGAGGGGGGGGCACACCGATCGTTGCAACATACAAGCAATCCGCCGGCTCTAAAGCCGGCGGATCGCTTCTATGTTAACAGGCATCGCTGCCTGTTTTTAAATTTCGGCCATTTCCCGCTCGAGGGGGCGTTGTTAACAGGCATCGCTGCTTGTTTTTAAATTTCGGCCATTTCCCGCTCGAGGAGGTGTGTCTGAGCGGACGTCTAAAGACGCCGGCTCAGATCTAGAGAGCTCCCGGCCGGCCGTTTTTTTACTACGGCCTGCCCGGAGGCAGTTAAAGAACAAAAGATGAATGAGTACAATTATTAAGGATGTCATTATAAACTGACCAGTCAAAAACCTCAATCTCTTTTTTTCACAATTTTCTGCTTTGAAAAAATATTTTACAAGACACTTGAGTGCAAGCAAGAGTAAATAGTACTTTATATACTGAAAAAGGGTTTGTATATGCAGCAGACTGCAAGTTTTGGTCATTCAAAATCCTATAGCAATAATTAAGACAGTTCTCACATACTTTGTTTCAAACTAGTGTGATCATTCTAAATGAAATTATCAATGATATTTGGAGGAGATCATGGTTTATAACTGTCTTTAGAACTGGATCAGTTTCTTTGTAACTACGAAGTTCAACCATAAACTGAACAATATCAGCATCAACATCAGAGCTTAATTCTTTAAGGACATGTGGGTGTAAACAACCTGGTCTGGGTGCTTTATTCGCCTTTATTTTGTCTGTTTCTGGAATATATTAATTTTGAGCCATTGTGGTTTATTTTAGGCTATGGCACTGTCATACCCATTATGAACTTAGAGATGTGCCTTCTCTTTGTCTCTAGTAACCAACCCTAAATCATCTTATAATCTATCTACATGCTTAGATCTGAGCTTTTTACAATCAATATATTTAAAGAATTTTGCAGAGTCCTCTTTATTCTCTATTACAACATGTTGTTTGTTTTGCATTTTTGTGATCTTCCTTTGCTTTTCATATTTACAGTTGATTTGAAACATTCCCATTTCCGTTTTGTGTTTTTTGATGGCAATATTCTCTCTCATTAGCTCTTAAAATGAAGGGGGTTATTCACAAAGCTGTCAAAGGCAGCCAAGTGAATAACCAAGCCGAAGTGAAGTGAGCCGAATGCAGTTCGGCTATTCACTTCAGCCTTGTACGGCGGAGTCGAAGTCCAGAAGGAGTTCGACTCAGCTGATCCAACATCTGGATTGGCTGAGCCAAAGCTCTAGCAGCTCACTTGCTGCCGTTCGCACCTATTCTCATAGGGGCCGAACGGCAGTGAGTGAATAGCTGAATGCCACCGAGCGGTATAGAAAAAAATTTAAACAAATGAAAAAAAGTTGAAAAA